TTCCTATTATAGTTGGTTATATTATTCTAAAATTGGAAAATGAGAATAAGAAAATTCAAGAAAAATCATTTTATGTTTCATTTGCTATGCAATTACGAACCAAATGGTGAACAATCATTGACTCTAGTCTACATATCAACAAAAAACTAAATGGAAAATGTAATTCATTTCCTTTACTCAATTCAACTCACCCTTTTGCAGGTTGTGTGAAGCGACTCGAATTTATATTAAGTTCATTGTAATTCCATCCATATTCCATCAGACTTGGTTCATAAAATTCTTAACAGCCTCGGTCATATTTTTTACGTGATGCATTTTTGCTATGTCCAATAATTCATCAGCATTTTCGGCGTTTATATTAGTAATGCGCTGGTTGAGTTTTTCATGATGCAAAATTTCTTTCAAAAGATCCCAAGACAACTTTTTCTCTGATTCTAGTTCTGAATAATGACTAAAAAATGATACGAATGAATAGTTTTGCGAATATTGCAACATATGTATAATTCATTTCATATTTACTCCAAAATGTAATCGATTGATGCGGACTTCAATAGCTTAGCATTCGTGATGTGTTCAGTCAAAGTCAGGCAATCGAAGACGTTTTCAGTTCCTATACGTTCCACAATAAATTTCTGTGCTTTTTCGAAGAGTCGAGCGACCTCGTACTAGAATAAGAAATTGATAAAATTACTACGTTATTCCATTTTTTACAATTATTTTGATTCAAATTTCCATACCTCATCTGATATCTTGAGCAAATCCTCGACATTTTCGGTTGAAATTTTCACTTTGAATGAGTACATGTATTTAACCATTTCACTAACAATTTCATAATTATATCCCGACTGCTCATCAAATTTTATTTTGAAATATGGGAAATCGTTTAAAATTAATTTGTGGGTAGGTATTGTTCTATCTCTAACGATGATTTTGCAGTCAGTTGATTCTCCAGCTAGAAGCCTTTCCATCCGTTTTTCCCATGATTCTTGTTTAGCTCGTTTTTAAGGGGGGGGGACAGAGAATCTTCTGTTGAAGGATAGTTGAATGCAATTCGTGATAGTGCCGACATTATATTTAAGAAACACCAATTGATCGAAAAGACCGTTTTTTTTTTAAACAAACTATTTGCGTCTAATTTTTTTCTCACTATAAATGTCATTGTTGTGTCACATCCCGTGTGAAAAAAAAATGACTGACTGACTATAACTTCAGTTGACTTTAGTTGATTGAATTTATATTTTTGTTCTAAGAAAATCACTTGGTCCCAAATGAAGCAACTTAGATTGACTTGTAACTTCAAATGATTTCAGTTAACTATGATAGACTTACACTACACTTTGTACTGAAATGTCAATCAAAGTAAGTCATTTTTGTCCCAAATTAGTTAACTGACTGCTCAGTTACTATTTTTTCACACGGGATCAGTGTGAAATTATCCACTCTGTTTGCTAAGCGAATATTTCAAAATCTATATTTCGGTTAAAACTTTCAAAATTCTACATACAAATTGGAGTGAATTTCATGTATTCGATCGAAAATCCAAACAGCAATTTATATCCAATCATCACATCATATTCACATGATTCTATCGTTTTGAAACAGAATAAATTCTTCATTCGAAAACTCTCTAAATCAAGCTCCTTTGAATCATTTTGATATCATTTGAATAAAGTATCGAACGCCATCTCTTGAGAGGTATGCGAACGAATTGTTTATTGTATTCCAATTATGAAAAACATCAAGAACCGATTGTATAAAACATAATTGTGGAGGGCTGAGTACAATTCCGAAAATATAAGTAAACAAAACAACAAAAACAAAACGGAGCAATGGTGTGGTTTGCTGGGTGTAATTGGTGTCATAAAAAGATTTATGGCTATCAAAATATATGGAAACCATGGTGTTCGATGTGCCCAAATGGGAGTGTTAAAAAAAATCTATGATACAAAAAAAGAAAAATAACACCCATCCAAAACACCAAAATGCAATTATTGTAAATGTAAATGCAATTATTGTATTGATTTTGAAATGATCGGGACGACCAATTTTAAGAGGGGGGAGAGTTAAGATCGATGACAATATTATATGAAGATATTGATCATTTGAATTGTATTTCATCATCATTTCGTTAATATAAAAATCAATCATTTGATAAATATTAAACTGTTTATAAAATTGTATTTCAACATCCAATTCAATCATTTAAATTATATTTCAACATTCAAATCAAAAAATATATACAAAAAAAGTAACCCAGTAAAAATAAATGTAAAAAAAAAGTTTTCTGCACCAGAAATTACTGTACTATTTTCAATATTCTAATCAATATTTCAATATTTCGATCAATATCTCAATTTTAAATATTTCAATTAATATTTCAATTCAATATTGATAAGAATAATTTAAACTTGACCTATAAATATGATTGTACTGTACACGATTGAACACCAGTCTTAGTTTATCATTAGAACCAATAAAGTGTTTGAATTCACTAAAGCTCTTTTGTTTACTAAAACTCATCATTATAGAAACATACTGTTTCTTAACTCGGGCAGCTGCAAAAACACAACTCAGCTAAATACACACAATATATTGATTTTCTGTCTGTCGTGTTTTGTGTGTTTTTTTTTCCTTCTTTTGCATATTTGTAAACATAAACATATGTGTGTGCACTGAGAGAGCACATTTGTTATCTAATCGAACTAATTTAAAACATTGCACAAAATTTAAATATAAGCCAGTGTTCATGTGTTTGTGTGTGTGTGTGCGAGCTCGCGACAGAAGAGAGAAAAAAAACGCGATATATACGCTACTTAGAAAAATTGGGTTATCATTCTTACTGCGATTATGCGATTTGGTATGATTATATCATCTGAATATGTTTTTTTTTGTCTCTTGTTTGTTTATACATCTAATATGGGCGTATTTTACGGTATTTAGGTTCCAATTCCTATTTCGTCAAAGAAGAGAAGAAAAAAAAACAACACACACACACACACATATTCGTAGAGAGTGAGAGACAGAAGAGATATTTCGATTCAGTTCATTTCACTTTCAAAATCAGCTGGTGCTCGAAAATGGAATGCAGAAAATGGCTTGGTTGAGTTTGACATGAAGATGACCGATATTGACTGTGGTGGCATCGGCGGCAAAGTACACAGTGAACGGTTTTTTTTTGGATCGAGTAACCTTGACATCGCTAATATTTTTTTTTATTTCGTTCATTGGTTTTGATTTACGAGACACATTAGCGGTCAAAATAAGATGCGTACAGATTATGCTTTGCTTAAAATTATGCGCATGATAACAACATTTGATAGAGTGACAAACAAACCGATGGAAAACGATTGATTTTATGTTGATATAAATTCCGTGGTGGCTCAATATTCGGTCGCAATTGATCGAATGATGAAAATGTAACGAATATGCAGGCAGGTGCGCTTGTGTTGGGGATTGAAATAAATCACACCGTCATAATTATGCGACTCGAATGTCAAACATTTTTTTATTGAGTTCTAACTCTAACACCTTTTTTTTTGTTCGGTTGCGGTTAGTTACTGCTGCTGGTGCAGTGCGTGCGTGTGCCGATGTTGATTGCACAAATGGCGGACAGCTTAGTAATTATAACGGTGATTAAGAAGCGAAACGAAATGCGCTTAGAATATCAAATTGAGTTCGTAGTCAAATTGTGCGAAAATCATTCAATTAAAACTGACAAATTGAACGAATTGATGTAAGCATCAACTTAATTTCACACTGCTTGGGCAGCAGCAACAGCAATTAAGAAAAGGCCGCTAGTTGCCGACAGTCTGTTAAATGTAATGACAGTAATTATGACTAGTATAGAATTCGATTAATTCGATGCTCAGGCATCCACGATTAAAATATATCATTCTGCGTAAATGCGAATTTGCATTTGTGTATCGGAATGACGATGGCAAAAATGAATACGATAAATTGTCTGATACAATTATTTTCATTTCATTTCGTATGCGTTCCTCGTCTGAGAGTCTTTTGTTCGCGTCTTGGCAATTGCATCGGTGTTGTGCTGCAATCAATCGATCGCTGTTGTTGTCGTCGTCGTCATCACTAAATGCGTCATCATATTTATGCGTTTATTTTTATCTTCATCGATCGATCGATTGCGCGCACGCGCTTCCCCAATAGGCTTTACTTGGGTTGTGCGTTCGTCATAAAATTCGAAATTTATTTTGATCACTTCTTGCATCGATCGTTCATATTCAATGCGCAAATATTCCATTTTTGAATTAATTGTGTGAACAAGGGGAAGAAGATACAGGGAAGAAGATATCGATTTAAATGCCAATCGCTGTAAGAATATTTAAAAAGTATTTCTTGCGTCGATTCCATTGCAAGTATTGGACATTGTGTCTAAGTCACATTGGACCAAAAATTTTAATGACGTTTTTTCTTTTCGAAAATCTTTTATACGAAAAATAAAAATAAAATTACCGTGAAACCCAACATTTAAATGCAATTTTAGCACGGTAATGGATTGTATGGTTGGCATCCAGATGTCTTGATTCGGTCAAATTTACCGTATTCACTTATTTATTTTTTTTCGTCATGAGCGAGCACATACAATTCAACTTTCACTGTGTATACACAAAAATTGTGTTTATTTTCTTTTTCTTCTCTTTTTTTTTCATACACATAAATACGTTTCTGAGTGTGCACACTTTTCGTATGTGGAAAAATCCATTTGAATACACGTTGACGAGATAATAAGTACAAAATGCAATATATATCTGTGGCACACACAGCGCCACACAGAGAAAGAGATTGGTTGACTCTTGGATCGGTGGAGATTTCGCAGTGGTATACATGTACAAATTGGTTAGCGGAAAAAGTGAGAGAGAACTGTGTGGAAAGAGTTATGTTATGCTTTGGGCCTCGATGTCGTATGCTGACACGTATAATTTCAGAAAAGAAAGAAAGAAAGAAAAGAAGAAGAAGAAGAAGAAGAAAAAGACAGACAGAAAAAAAAATTATGTTAACATTGTGTCGCCGGTTCAGATGGAAGCCTACCGAATGGCCGGAATGGCCAATAGATTGGTGACATCGTTTGCAATGCAATCCACACACATACACACACACAAATTTTACTGCTTCGTCATGATAGAAACGGGTGCTTTGGGTTTCGATGTTGTGTTGCTGCTGTTGTTTGTCAACAAAAACAAAAATTATATCATCTTTTAACGGTTGCACTGTTTGTATTAAAAATAGGTCTCACTCTCTTCATTTAGATAATCAGAATCGAACTAAACCAAAAATAAAAGCAAACGCTTGCATATTCAGATTAAATATGCGCTTTGTGTTGGATCGAAGCAAGTCTGGGCGATACGCACACACACATATGTAAGACGTATAATCTAAGCATAGACATTGCGGAAGGCATTCCGCTCTCAGTCAAGCTGTTTTGTTATTATAAATAGATCGGTTTGGGCTATATTAATCAAGTCAAAGTCAAGCCAATGGCGAAAAAAAAATGCAAGACATTTTCTATTGAAATCGATTTACTATTTTTGATTGATAGGACACACCGATGGATGATTTGTTTTGTGTTGTTAAGTCGATGGGTGTTCGGTGGTCGTTGTTGTTGTTGTTTTTTCCTCGTTGGATGATAATGGAACATACGGTTGACATTGTTGTTCATCTTGAAGATTACCAATCTGAATGATTCTCTTATCTAATGGTCATATTCGGTGTTAATTTATGCAAAAACGAACAATTTTCATAGACGAACGAAATTAATGAGCAATCCAAATGCAAAATCACTCGAATGTTACGATGAAAACAAAACCAACAAAAAAAAAACGCACACACAACAGAAACCAACGAAAAGAAACAAAAACAAAGCATAACAAACATACAAACACACATCGGGAGTGCAGAAGAAAAAACAATGTCAATGAAATTGGCTTAAATCCATTTAAAGCCGCGCTCATGAGCACACACACACACACACATGCAGAGTATAACCATCGCTCAATGGTAATATATTCGCGATTCATCACGTACGATTACCACAAGACATCAAATGACACATTAAACGAACGCAATCTTTTGATCAATAAATAAAACGGTACCAGATGAAAACAGTAAGCAATGTGTGCGCACGCACTTCATGAACAATTCATTGCATGTGCGCTCACTGCGCTATGCGCGCTAACAGCAACAAATTCCGAGTAGAGGGAAAAAAGTTAGCCATGTGCAAGTCTTAAACCTTCATATGTACAATTTGGATGAATGAAGCGTCTTCAAATGATTGGTTCATGTTCTAATTTAAATGTTTTAGTGATTCTGCTGTGTGTGTGGCCAGTTTTTTTTTTCTACCATTTTGATGGAAATAAAAATCAAGTGCGCCCGTTTGAAGTAGAGCGATCACGTTGCACGTTGACATTGTCACTCTGTTGTTGTTTTTTTTTTTTTGGATTGAAATTACTTTTTTTCTGCTTTTTGATTGTTGCGTTTGATTCGATGTTTATAAATTAGTGGTTATCGTGAGAACCCATCGCCTGAATATGTGTTTATTGAGCTTCTGCTTTTCGGTTGGTCTCTATTTTTGGCCAATGGCAAATGATTAGCAAACCCAAATGATTTATGGGAGGCAAATCAATTGAAACGAACAAAAATGAATGAAATACTGGTAAATTAACGCAGAATATGTGCTTGATGTAATTTGAGATTTTAATCGGCAATAAAAAAAAGCAGCAGCAGCAGCAACAACAACAATCACAACAACTCCAATAGCAATACGAGTGGCAATGGTCTCGTTGCTCGCGGAAGAAATCAATTGCTGGTTATGACTCGACCGTAATAACAACCAATAAACATAATATATATAATGAAAAAATCACGCTCAGATTGGTTGATTGCACGATCTTCGCTGTCCATCGAGAGAAGACAGAGAGAGAGAGAGATAGAAAACAAGAGTAAGAGAGATAACTAGAAGTAGGGCGTCGTGTATGCGATCTTGATGCATTTATGTAGAGCGAACCGATTCGAGAATTTGACAGAATTCCATTGAAATCGCCGAAACAAAGACACAAAAAAAGACTCGAAAAAACCATTTTGAATGTATCGAAACATTGGATAATTTGGAAACGAATGTGATGTAAGTGATAAGTGGCGCTCAGATTTTAATGCATACCAATTTGATATCAATGGAATGCGACATTCCTTTTTTTTCGGTTAGACGGGAATGATACGGTTATACTATCCCGTTGAGATATGTGCTATCCATTGACGCTGACCATACCGTTCAATACATGCATCCAACATATATACACACACACATGTGAATGTAGAGTGTATGCGTCTCATTGAAAATATGCAAAACTTTTTACCAGCCGTACACAACAATCACCGATCGATCGACTGAACGAATGAGCGACCTATAGTCATGAGCTCGATCGCGAGTGCACGCGCGCTCAACAACAGCACGACGTAGAAAGGCCAGCACGGACACACATTCGTACAAACGCATTTACAAGCTAAGAAACATAATCAAACGGAATGCATACCCATACACATGGCTACATCCATTTTTTTTTTCATTTCTCTGTGCGCTTTTGGCTTATTTACTTTGATTTTGTTTGTTGTTTGTAGTTCGTTGTTTTTGTATGCCTTTCTCCTTCTACACGACTATGTATCCGAATCGACGCTGATCACTTCGGATAAGCCACTTATTCGAAGCTTTAAGCGAGCAACGCTATTGTATTGCTCATCATTCATCATGGTGGATGAACGCATTTCCAATGCGTTCTGTACACAAAAGACACATGCAAAAGCTTTCATTAACACTGACTGGTGTCAAGAGTCTCAATACTCAATGGTTTTGCAGTTTATCTCAGCGTTGCATGCCAATTGTGGCGACATCAAAATACTGAAAATTCGGAAAGTGGACACTTCTCTTTCCGCATATTTACCTACCTGATTGATCCAAAGGTTGTGATAGCTTCAAATGAAATTAATGTATTGTTTGACATTTTATGTTGAATGTGACACAGAGCCGATTGTTATCTGTCTACCCATTAACAGCATATAAAATGTAGATTAAATTGCGTGATAGTTGAAAATGACTTTCAAAAAACGAACGAAAAAAAATCTACGATACAGCCATTGTCATTTTGTGGCCGTGCACGAAAGTGTTAATCATTCCAAAAGCTGTTGTATATTTTGAGATACCGTGTGTATGTTCAAAGAAGCTGAAATGGTCGACACTTTAGCGATGAAATGAAATGACGGCAGCAAGTGTGCTGCTGCTGTGCTGTTGCGATGGTGCCTTCGAATTTATGAGAAATATATACATGTAAAAGCATTGTCATAGCGAATTCGATCGAATGTTCATAGTCATCATTGTCTGGGCTTACAAGTTTTGATCGGTATATTTAGATCGCGCATGTATATGTGTTTGGGTTTGCACACGGGGCACGAGTAAGCGTGCGTAAGCTGGCGCGATGCGATCGAGCGGATTTTTTCCGAATTCGGTGTGTTTGCGGGTTGAGAGTGTATATGTATGGTCGGCGCGGTATGTGTGTGTGTGTGTGTGTGTTTCATGTCTTCAGTTGTTAACACTTTGATACATTGGAAACATAGATTTGGATCGTGTACCTGTTGCCGACGCCGCACCGCCATCGTGGTTGTTGTTGTCGATTGTCGTGTGCCGTTTGTCGTGTATATATCGTTGTTTATACAATTTTCTGTGTTTAGTCCTTGCAAGGTTGTTACGCTAATCGCACGCAAGAAATTACCACACCACCGCCATACATCATTTCGCTCTCTATCTACGCTTTTAATTCCACGGCTTCATTCAAAATAAGAGCATATTTCTATATACACGAACAAACATTTTTTATCAACAATATTCGGCTGTTTTTTTTTTTGTCTGCCTCTCTTTCGGATTTAATTAATTCAGTGATTCATCGAAATAATCGATCGGCATCAAGTTTAAAACCGAAAGAAAACGTTATGTTTCCGCGAATTTCGTAACACTTCAACATCGAATGAGTAACTGATAACAACTAAAAATACAACAAAAAAACATCAACTGTCGGTGTCGCGAATTAAAAAAGAAACAAACTGATAAAAAGCTATACACAACTCGGGTTGATTGTAAAAACATATTATTTTTTTTCTACGTAAATTTATATCAATTTTTGGTGAATTTTTGTGCTCTTATCGCATTAAGAATTTGTAATATATATAGTACGGACTAAAGAAACGCAGAAAAGTTTAACTCGTTTTTTATTATCAAAATAAACGCACGTTTAAAAAGTGAAATCTATTTTGTCGCCGCGATCATTCAAACAAGTGGCATTGTTTGCAACAATATTTGTTATGTTAAATCCATTGAAATAAAAAGGTGTGATCTCTCTTTCTTCTTATTTTAAATAACATTTATTTTATTTATTTTTACTTAAAAAAAATTTCTTTTCAACAAAACGAAAAGTGTGATTTGATTGAAAAATGAATGAACGGTTTTAGTTCTAAGTTTTGTGTGATTTGTTTTTGAGATCGCTGAAAATGAAATTTGAATCGGAATTGTTAATACTGTTGTTGCCGTTGTTGTCGCGGTATTTCAGTGTTTTCCGGTTGAAAGTTGATCTTCTTGACTTTTTCCGTGGCTTAACTTTTTCGCTCGGTTTTTTCTGTTTTTTTTCTTCTTCTTCTTCTTCTTTTTCTTCTTTTTCTGCTTTACAATACGAAAAAAACAAAAACTTAACCGTAAAACATTCATCGGTTACAACATACATAGCAAATTGGAATGTTTGATAAATGGTCGAAAGAAAAGAAACTAAAATATTGAAAAGAAATGAACAAAAAATTAGACCTTTTTGCCTCTTGGGCACGCACTCATTCATTTCCTTCGAACCCTCGACCGAGAAATTTCGTTTCGTTTGCATTTGGTTCGTTTGCGTATTTTTTTTCTTTCTTCAATTCATTCACATCATCAGTTCACCTCCACCTCCTTCTTCGTTCCAGAATTGTGAATTAAAAATTGGAAAAGTATGTGGAAAATGTTTGCACAATCATCGCGCATATATTGATACCAATAAGTGCATACAATTGGTTTCGAATATTGTCTCGGTATTGGTAAAGTTTTAATTGTCTGCCGCTGCCATCGCCGCCGCCGTCATCGTCGACATCGTACTTGTTGTTATTGTAATATCAATATTATTATTGTATTTTATTTTTATTTTCCAATATTATTTTCGTCCAAAAGAAGTTGAGCACGGTGAATTCAAACGAAAAAGAAAGGTATACGACGATCTTTTTTCGCGTTGCTTCGCTTGTAAATAGCTGCGTTTGTTTTATACGCTTTTTGTATATTCAAATATGTGCTTTCCGCAGATTGCACACAAGTATTCACGGCGTGCGCGTGCGCCCAGCAGGCGAATGCCAGCATAATTTCAAGTGAAGAAAAAAGAAACACACACAATACACATACACCAAGCGAAATGTGAAGAAAAAAAAAGCACCCGAAAAAAAAATAACGATCATCGCATGGCGAACACACAGTCTCAACAAAATCATGTGGCCAACGCCGATCATATGTTTGCGCAGCTTTTTTTTCTCTACATCTCGCTCTCACTCTTTCTCGAGAAAAAAAAAATGGTTAAATATTTATGTATTGTTGAATTCGTCATATTTCAATTTTGGCTTTGAACTCATTGCATCTCTTTTTGTTGCCCAATTTTCGTTTTTTTTTTGTCTCTCGCATTTCGGCTTACGGTCGTTTGTGTACGGTTTTCGTTGGATATCGTGTAAGTTTTAGCCGATTTCACATGTCGAACGCGTAATCATCGAAAACCGTCAAATCGTAAAATGGATTTGTATATGAATGAGAGAGACAATCAAAACGGCCAAATGTTTACGGCCGTTATAGCCAATCAAATTGGTTAACTGGTCACACATAGTCTTCAGCATCAATCGCGTTACGATGAACATTTTCGTTTGATAAATAACATTGTTAGAACCGGTTGATGAAATCCGTTCAGAATGTGTACCATTGATCCTTAACCTTTGGCTACAAACATCTCGTGCTCTGCACATTTCGTCATCGACATCGATACACGCACGAATTCAACAACTTATATGCATATATTCAAAGAAAACGAAAAACTCGAACGCTATTCGAAAGTATCAATAGCTCACGTACATCAAGTACAAACACCATTTCTATCGACACATCGCCGATGCAGCGGTGGTGGCTATTGAAATGCCATCGATACGCACTAGTATCGAAAATTGCTCGTTGGCACGCATTATTGATATTATTGATTGATTGGAATCGAAAAATTAAATCGATAAACATGATCACCGGCCATATGCACAGTGCACACAAGCTCCGAACCATTTAGTTTGAACGCACCACCGAAAAAGGAAATGATAGAGGCTTAATAATGTACAACATAATTTTCGGTGTAGTTTGAATCGAAAAACGATTTTGTACAAATCGCTATAATTGAATTATTTGCCATAAAAGAAAGCAACGAAGCTGATGAAAGAAATTGGCTGAACACACAAAAGAAACAAAACAACACACACAAATACTAAACGTAATCACAATTACACCTCGAACAATATCAAAACTTGAACCGTTTGTACATACATTGGGTTTTGTATTTTAATAAAAATGTCTTGACTAAATGGCATCGGGAGAGCGTGTGAGCGCAAATTCAATCGCATAGTGAAATGCAGAAGCAATTTTATTGTGGTGTTAATAGCCGTCATTAAGCAAAAAATGTTCGTTGTGGGGCTATTAAATCGTTTTGTTATGAACCTCCATTTCCATTCCATTACGATGCAATTTGGTCGGATTTTGGGATTAATTTCGGGGAAGTGAGCATGAACGAAAAATTTGCGTTTCAATGCATCGAGTCAAATAATCTCTTTTATGTATGTGTGTGTGTCGAATGTTCATGGAAATTTTTTCATGTTGTTTGCTCTTTTTCTTGGTTTGGCATACCATTGTCATAATTGAATCTATTAATAATTGTATGCTGGCGAATTGGCCTTATCAAAATATAATTTGTTTTTTGTTTTTTATTTATTTTGGTTTTCATTTCGGTGAGCGAGATTTCGTTTGGGTCGTGTTTGTGTGTACGCATATAAAGCGCAAACACGGTCGTCGTAAATCAATTCAGGTGCCCATATAAATATAGATATGTGTATATTGTGGAACCATTTTGTTGGGAAATACCATTAATTATTTTATAAATAGCATTATGGTTGGTGCACGTTACGAAAATTCGGCATAATTCGACATAAACGAGTGTCTGTACATATTATCATCATGATTACGGTACTATTAAAGATGATTTCCATATTTACATTATATATTTTTAAAGCGGAAATACTAGTCCGTAAACCGATTTTACGGCAAATTATTCGAAATTTTTGGCATCGATTGATTGTTTACTGTGGGAATTGTCTCGCTATGCGACAAATACCGTTTGAAAAAAAAAATTGTTCGAAATCAAGAGGTGCAATCAACAGACCTTTGACTAAAAAAACACTCCAAAATGGAGAGATAAACAGAAACATAGTTAAAAAAATGCACGTGTAACTCAAACGTATGCATGATGCATTCCAATGCAGACAATGGCCAATAAAAACAGCCGCACGACGCCCGAGTAGAATATACACGTGAGTTGAAAAAAAATAACAGTCAAAAGTCCACCGGGAGATTAAATAGAGAGAGAAAAAAAACAGCAGCAGCAGCAGCAGAACCGTTATGAAACCGAAAAAAGCCAACAAATGTGTTAGTTTCCCTTTTGGTTGTTTGGTTTTTCGTTTGTATTTGTTTTTTTATTTCTCTCTCATTGAATAAATCACTGATAGTTATGCCGGTTGAGGCGGCCAGTAACAACGTCGTTCGACTACCATTACTGTTATCGGAATATTTTATCGTAAATATTGTGTGTCAACCAAAACGAGAGCCCAGAGACTACGACAAATGTACTGAATTATTATGCTATTTAACTGGCTTCTATCGGGAAATTTAATATAACAGAAATTATGTTCACTCTCGACGACAGCAAGAGATAAGAGCACAAGCAGCTGCTGCTGCTGCAGCATACCGTCATGTGTATGTGTGTGCACCATGGCCCGCGATCTTTGGTAAACATCATGTGATCCATAGATATGTTTCTTTCTGCTCGGCTGTTTTGCGTTTATTTTCTTTTTTTCTTTTCAAAGCCTCACTTTAGCATTTTGTAATTTAAGAAAGAAAGAAAGCTTCGAACTGCTTTGAGAAAATAAAAATCACACAAGAAGAAAACTGAAAATGATGTTTAATAAGAAGAAGAAGAAGAAGAAATAAACCATCAAATGGTAACAAAACAGCATTTGTATGTCTCTCTTACTGTGTGTGAGTGATGCAATACAATTGCCGCATTATATTAGATAATCGTCATTATTGACGTATTCGATTGACATTAGATTATGGCTTTTTGTGTAATTTCGATCAAAAGAAAATATTTTGATAATAATGATATCAGCGTCTCACATGTTAATATGGAAATAACGTCTGTGGTCGGTCGCGGTTCAATCACAATCATCGCTTTTTTTTGCGCGCAGAGATACGTCTAAACTGTGATAATATTGCTATTTAAATTCAAATTATTCAAATTTACCCTATGATTATACATTATTTATGCTTTGACTGTGCATGTCTCATCAGTCGGCTCAGTTTTACCGATACAATTTCCCAAGTTTAATTGTGAGTGATATTATTCTGGTTTTTTTTGGTCTGATTTGCGCTTCTTTGATCGAGTGCACATTTGACATGTTTTTGGTTTGGGTAACGTAACGTGTTATCGATATAGAAAAACGGCAAAATAATTAGCATACATTCCATTCACTTTCTGGGAACACTGTTTAATGGCGGCTAAACGTTTTCAATTACACGAAATTGATCTGTGTGTGAATTGTCATTTGCTGAAGTGAGCAAGAGTCTGTGTGTGTGTGTGTGTGTGTGTGTGTGTGTGTGTGTGTGTGTGTGATCAGAGTAGTGCAACGGCCCTTTGAGACGCATCGAACTCCAGAATGGAATGGCATTTTTCTCAATGATGAACTACTTTAAACGAATTTGGTAAATTTCCTTCGATTTTTGCATTGCACACCGAATTGCGCGCAGCTTTTGCATCACCACATTTTGCTCTGTTCGATTTGATGCTGATGTGTGTGCGCGCCACAGCGAATCGAATATCTCCCGCCACTGTTCAAAAACGATGGCGTGCGTGTACACACATTTGTTTGTTATTTTTTTTTTCATCACTTCTCTTCTGCATTGCGTTTTCATCTCTTTCACTCGATTGATGTGTACACATTATTTGGTTTTGTTGTATTTTCTCTTTG